CACGGGTGACTGTCAAATCTCAAATAAAGTATTGTTTTTTCACACACTGAACCCGCCTACTGTCATTTTAAATCATGTCCACTTTTCATCACGAATAAATCAACTGGTAGTATTATCACGTAGTTTTTAAACTTTGTTGTGTGTTTTATTTCTGTTTTGGGACTGGTAGGGGGGATCGTAACCCCTTGTGGTGAGAAACAGTGAGACTGGCCTACTTGCAGGGTTCCAAAGCTTAACGTTGTACGTTTTATTGCTTTCATTTACGTTACTTGTCCTTGTCAAACTGCTTATTAAAAATCACTACTGAACCTCCGTTCAGAGCACAGTTCCTCCACATTCTCATCAATTGAAAACCCAAAGTGTTATACACGTACAGGCAAGGTGATATGTTCATGGATATGTAGCAGGCGAAAATATCAAATTAAATAGCGAGTTACTACAGAAATATAGCAAAATGTGAAATCCTTTGTGTTTATGCTTGTACTCGATCATGGCGTTAAGCTCAAATATATTATAAGTACTCATTTTGATAGTGACAGAAAACTGAAATTTAAATACACTCGAATTATAAAATTTTGCATTGATATACCTAATCAATGCGAATGAATAAATGTACATTTACATTATATGTGTTATAAACTTGTTACAGTAGAAGTTTATTTTAAATGGTCATTTTTAATTAGAGCTTGTGCATAGTTAACAAGAGAATACCCATGATGCTCTGCTTCATTTTATATTCTGCTATTTTTTTCTTTTATGAACGCTATAATGCGAATATTTTTTAATGTAAGAATATCTGTGAAATATTCTTCCACTACTGCATGTGTATAGAACGGTGTTGGTTGGTTCAATAACGGTGTTGGTTGGTTCAGTAGCGGTGTTGGTTGTGTCCAGCATGGAGCTCTATGCGTGTAGCTAGCTGACTTGGCAGTGAAATGGTGTCTTGTTTGTTTGCTCATGACATTTTTTTTTATTTATTGACACAACATTGAATTTATAAAGTACAGCAGTAAGGCCACTAAAAACTACAAGACAATAAAAAAAGTGTTCAACACTAAAAGATAAAAAGTGGAAACAAAATTACATTTACAAATTACAAGATTCACTGCCCATTAACATACGAAAATACATTACATTACATCTGTTATTATACTATAGGTGCTGTGGCCTTATTTTAATGCAATGTTCGGAAAAAAAATGTGGTTATGCTGAGTCGACAAGAGATGTTGCTGCCTTATGAATAATGCAATATACACTGCAATGTTTTTATTTCACATTTTCATTAAAAAATGTTAAAAAATCATTTATTTGCTTTCTGGCTTCCCCATATAATTTCGTTCTTAGATCGCTGTTATAAAATGGTATTCTTTGATTCTGTTTGTAATTTCGGTTTACTGTGCATCCCTGTTTTGATTTTAAGGTCGTGGTCACTTAAACGAAACCGAGAGATTGACTCTCGTAGATAAATATTTGTTAGCATTGTTAAAAAAATCCATTTCAAATATTTTCTTGAATTCTCTGTATGTCCTTAGTTTATTTTTGATATTACCTGAATTTATCTCTATGTTCCTAATTGCAACAAATGTGTAAGAAAAAATGGAATTCCAATGCTGTAGTTGATAAATGACAATGTTGTGTCTTTATTACATACTCCTTTTTTCAAAATAAATACAATACAATACAATACAAAGGTACTAATATTTCGATGGAATAATAACAAGAAACGGACACATCACAATGTTAAATATCACAATTTGTGTAGTTTTACTAAAGTGGTGATATAAATAGTAGATATAGAGATTTGATCAAATATCACTGTATTCCACGGGAATAAAACATTCATATAAAGTCATGCTTTCAATAACAGCCGCTACCCCTTATTTCAACGGAAAACCACCCGCGATTTTGTCGCCACATGTTGTCTGTTAACTGTCAATCAGTAAGTGATCACTTGGCCATAGTATTAGGTTATTGGAACGTGTTTTCTGAATGAATGAATGACCTTAAACTCGTCCCAATTTAAAGTTGTTATTTTATATAATAGTTCTAGCCCTTCACCGGAAATTATGTAGCGACCTTCAAGTTTGCGATCGCTATACGTTATAAAAAAGTAGTTATGTTACTCATGAGTTTTAGCATGGGCGTACGTTCTAACGCCTATAACGATGACAATAATTAAATAATTAAAATATTTAGCCTTTTTGCGTGAAAAACTGTAATTACATGTAAACAAAGACACATTACGATAATATGAAATGAACATGTTTGCTATTAAAAATCTTTTATTATTACTAAAAATTATTTCCATTTTTTTTAAACTTTTTATTTAAGATGGAACAGACTGTGGTACATATCATCGCCCAATATCACAGAAATTTGTGGGTGCGGATGTTTTATGAATTTCAAATTAAAAATATGATCCGTCCTTTCAACATACACTGGCTTATACAAATGTGTGTTGTTGTCATTGCCGTTACTGCTGCTGTTGTTGTTATTGTTTCATGATAGCCAGTGACCTTACTTTAATCTGAATATATAGGCGATGTTTTTCCATCCGTGTGTTTTGATCAAGCTGCGTGTTTGCACGTGACATTAATGACGTCATTGTCAAAGATGTTAGCTTATGGGGCTTCAGTTGGTCATTTAAATATAATTTAACTATATTTGTATGGCTGCTAGAAAATTAAAGCCATTGAAGGTGTCACACCACCAAACAAATTACGTTCGAGTAAAAATCTGTGTTGCTAAATGGGTGTTAAAGCGGCACATGCTGTAGGTTACCAGTCTTATAGGGATGTGTCGCATGTGCATAGAGTATCCTTATTTCTGTATTTGTTTTCACCGTGTCTGGCTCCTCGAGATGTGCCCAATGCAGACGAATAAGTGCCACGACCAGTGTAACCAGTCGCACACGGCTCTCTGACATCCCTCAACATTCGTTTGAAATGCGTTCTGAAAGACTCCCCTATTATGGTATGTATGAAGGGATTCATGGCGCAGTTAGCATAGCTAAGACAAACACTCAGAAAATGCAGTACTGCAAACGATTTGGGCGGTTGGTCTCTCTTTACCATGAAAAACCCGTTGACAAACTGGATGACGTAGAAAGGTAGCCAGCAGATGACAAACAGAGACACGTACAATATCACCATTTTGATGACTTTCTTAGAAGCGTTCTGCATGGTTGATAGGATGTTTTTGTTGCTAAGCGACAAATCAGACATTATTAATGCATACGAGATTACGATGACCGTTAACGGGACTACAAAACCCAAAATAAACGTATAGAATATGAAATGCTGTTTGTTAAAATTACCAGGAAGGATAACAGTGCACACGTTTTGGTTTTCACTAATCTCAACAACATCTGAGTAAATGAATAAGGGGAGGACGATTAATAGCGAGAAGAGCCACACCAATAACGTTATCCACTTTGCTTTGGTCGGGGTGCGAATATTAGTTGTAGTCATTGGGTGAACTATGGCGAGATATCGGTCAAGGGTCATGGTAGTCAGTATGTATATTCCTGTGAATTGGTTCAGTCCGTCTACGGAGAGAAGAATCTTACAAACAGCGCCCCCTAGTTGCCAGTTTGGTGATACTAGAGCATACGCCATCAACGGAATACCCATCATACTCAAAAGATCTGCCAAAGCGAGACTGAAAATGAAGACGTTTGGAACTGTTTTCAATTTGATGTACTTCATCATAACACATGCAACAAGCACGTTACCACATAATCCCACAGTAAATACAGTGCTATAAATAGGAATGACGGCGTGCGCCATAAGTCCATCATAATCGTATCCAGCGTTTGCATCGGTCGAACTGTTATAAGCCGTTGAAGACGTGGGCAATATTTGCGAATGATTCATTTTGGAAATTCCGTCTTCCGTCTGGCGATGCTGAACAACTGGGACAATTTTGTGTTCTCTGCTATATGTTGGTCCCTGGATCAATTGAACAGCTACTATATGAATTGCAGATGTCGGCATTTCTTTCCGGCATTCCCTAGAAGCGACATGGGTAATTCTAAAGATTCACCTTCAAAGTTGAATTATCTGAAGAATAAAATTTACAAAAGGGCGAATTAGAAGAGCACGCTTAATTAATAGACGGAATGTCCTTGGACAGAGGACGAACAAACTTGAGGGACCCCCTAGTTTAGTTCGCTCATAGCTCCTTAGCCGGGACTAGGAGGTCAAATACCTTGGCCCGTGCTAAGAAAACGTGTGCGAACGCTTAGCACGGGCTAAGAAGCGCCAAGTACGGGTAAAATCAAATCTTTAGCATGGGATAACAAAGTGTGCGCGAAGGCTGTGCTCGGGTTAAGCGCCCCCGAAACACCGTTGTTCGTTCGTTCGTTAGGATGATTTACTGTCACATTTAACTATTCATTTCGGTATGCCATTTCCGATATGACAACCAACGCGAGCACAACATAGAAAACAATGAACTGACGATGAGACTCTGAATTTGCTTTGTCATTGTTTTATAACCATAAAACTAACACATATACATTCCTGGTTACTGTACTGAGTACTCACAGTTAAAAAGGACTGAAGATTTGTATATTCCAAACACGTATGTGTGCTCCTTGGCCCGAGCTAACCACTGTTGCCTCCCGTGCCTGAACGCAATTGGGTCTATTCGATATGCAAACATGCGAGATTAGCTTAAATCTTAGCCCGTAATTGGTGTAATCTGAACACGACTTGAACAGGATTTGAGTTTTGGCAAAAAAACAGCGGATTGTCTTTAGAAACAACACTTTTCTGGATGTGCGCTTTCCAAAAACAAATGTTATATAACCGTCAGTTGCTGGAGAAAAAAATGCACCGAAAATAAAATAGCATTCCTGGAGAAAAAGAGTGACACTTTGTCAGCTAATGCATGGCTGCTACTATGGTGACCGTGACGACGAGCTGAACGTTTATGTTCTTGTAAACAGACCCTGGCAATGTTAGTCGATGGATTGTGGATTGTTATACAAATGGATAGTCAAACTTTCCATCAAAGCATAATAACCTTGAACGCTGTGCTACGAATGAAATTGAATGTATTGTGTGAGTTGAAAATAGTGGTCTAGTTTGGCAACAGCGCTGCAATGATTGCAAGGTCTGTGACATAAGACATCTATAGGTATAGATATATATATATACTTATATTCGCAAAATCAGATTTAACGCGCACAAGACAGATAATAAAGATACGTTGAAAAATAATAATCTCGTGGCACAGGCAAGCACAAAAACACTTTCAATCATGTATATTAAGCACATATTAAAAGTAGTTTACGCATTATGTCTAGATATATATTAAAACAAATGTACAACGAATGTCATAATGATAGTACTCATCTACACAAGACGGACTCGGAAACACTCAATAGGGAGTGGACTCCACAGAACCTGCACAGCATTACACACTAACAATTGAACCCAGGGATCCCCCTTTATGGACCTTGTGTTTTTTTTAAAGTAAGAATGTTAAATAACACGTGTATGTACGCCCTAGAGGAGTTTTCATTTTGTGTATCGTCCGTAAGTCACAGTCGTGTTCATCCCATTAATAAATGATTATGGGATTTTAACAAAGTAGCTTTGCAATTAGCTCAGCTGGTGGGTGTAATGTTACTACTCCTTGACACTGGACGAATTAATGTGGCTATATAATCTACTCTTGAAAATAAGATGCAACTCAAGGTTATGCCTCAAATTAGAACCCTTTTCCCGTCACACTATTTGAACCAACTTTGATTACCGACCTCATAAAAACTCACATTATCGCATGTTCTCATTCATTTGTCTACCGCGCTTAATTGGAGTGAAATAATTAGAAGCGTTCACGCACAACTCCTTGGAACGGGCTGAGAGGTCAAATACCTTAGCCCGTGCTAAGAAAACGTGCGTGAACGCTTAGCACGGGCCACTAAATGCTAAGTACGGATTAAATCTGGCCCGTTTTTAAGACGCGGTGCCAAGCCTTAGGCCACACCGACATAATTCTATGGATGACATCCGCGCGCGCATTAGTTTTCGCCTGTTCTCAAAAAAAAAAAAATCGCCGACGACGAGTCTCCACAGATCGGTTTTCTGTCCGGAACTTGCCCACTCATATTGTCGCAAAGCGCCGACTTGTCGTAAAACTCGTTTTGGACTACCTCAAAACCAATCTCCGCACAGTTAGATGCGCGTTACGTAAAGCGCAAAGACCTATGAGAAGGAGATTGTCTCAAAACATGCCAATTTTTCATAAATGATCCAACATGGCGACCACACCACCAAAATACGTGAGCATAAAAGTTCAGAGGTTAAACGGAGGGATTGTTGTAGACTGGTACGCAATTGACGTTAGCCTGGGAGATGTGACGTTTACACAGCTATACGATGAGAGAAATGGGAGAGGAATGGAGGAGTATGGTGGCCTAAAAGTCGGTCAGACGACAAGTCAGTTCGGTTGCTTTGTCCGCATTGAAGTCGACAAAACTGCAACGAAAGCCGCATAAGCTCCTCGCCGAAGTCCCCTTTCGGGGTGATTAAAAGTTTCTTCTTATTTTTTTTTCATTTTCTGATTCGGATAATTTGCTTGCACACACAGTCAGTAATATTTTGGTCATATGAAACATTTTCATCAAGATACATGTACATAATTTTCTGCATCCAAATTTTTGTTGACTCTCTGTTGGTGTTTTTTTTTTACAATATCGAGCCTCTTATAATTTGTTACATAGTTGAAGTAGTTCTAGAGCATTTGTGTCTACACTTAGTCTATCTGAAGTGTCACTTTAAAAGCTGTAGATTTGAATGTCAAAGAAGTTAATTTCCAGGTTGCTGTTGACAAACTTATTGATCATTTTTAATTAATTTTTTTCGATACAACACAGTAAGTTTTTCTTTATTATTGAGTTGATGTGTATGCCATTGGCAAAGCTAACATCTGCCTTATTCTCTTGCCTTTTCAAAATCAAAGGTGATGATACCTGTGACAGTAATACAGTACGAGATGTGTACACAACATGTGCCTCCTACAAATAAAGACATTTTTGTTGATACACTGTGGTTCAATTCGTAATACAGTTCCGTAGTCCTGTGGATTTTTTTTTCGGCCTCATTAGTTTTGGGGTCTTCAGAGTATGTCATCCATTGAATTAAATCAGGGTGGCCTTAGGACGGGCTAACGAAGCGTGCGTGAACGCATAGCTTGGACTAATCGCTCAAAACGCCACTGTATTCAATGTTCATTTGAAGATTTACTATTATATTCATTTCGGCATGCCATTACCGACATGACAATCAACGCGAACGCACATAGAGAGTTTGTTCTCGAGCACCAATTAACTGACTCTGGGCTACTTTCTGTTATTCTGCAATCTGCACTTTCTGAATGTGTTTTGCGATTGTTTTGTAACCGTATAAATATTGTTAACCGCGTTTCGCAGTATAACGGTTAACTATTGTCTGTTCGGGATGGCAAACAGACGGGTATGGTATGTGGGGTCATGTGACAAGGGATATTTAAGTAGAGGATGGAAGGTTGAATGTCAATCTAGGCCAGTCTCGCTACAGTGCAGTTTTCAACTTGTTGTTTTGAAAGTTTGTTGTATAATACAGGGAGACACCCGCCACCTTCCCCTGGGCACGATCGACAGTGCGACGGGTACAGGTTTCCAGGTATTTTTTCCTCAAAGGGTTTTTTTATTCCTGGTTTTTCCTGGGCGGTTGGCGTGCCAGTAACGGGGGTTACTATTTTGTCGATGTTTTTGTCAGTTATTTTAAATGTTTCTTTAACCGAGTAATGTTAATGCCATTTGCCTAGCATTAATAGTCGATCATTTTGCAGTTCATGTAAGTTATTTTTTTCTCTCATTTAGTTTATTTCAATTTGTACACTACCTGAAATGTAATGGCAGCCGTTTTAGTCGGCTTTATTAGTATGTTTTGTTAAATGAATGGTTCGCCGGACCGACTGCACATACATGGCCGCATCTGGCATGAACCTTACCTTATGTAAGTGTGTGTTGTACATTGTCGGATGTGACGAGTCTAGTAAAGACCGAGCAATCTACTGACAGAACAATCACAGTTAAAGCGCGGTAGTCGTCGCGCTGCGCATGTGCGAGATATATGGGTCTCATATAAACAAAGATGGCGACTTTGACTGTTGCGCAGATCAACGAGTACGAACTGACACGTTTCCAAGCTGTAATTAGATAATTTTCATGTGATTAGAAGGTATCGAAGGAGTCACCGGCGGTAATCAGTGCAAGTTGCGCCCAGGTCAAACTCATGTACTTGTGATTTCCATTTGAATAGCGCATTGGATTGTGGAAAAATCTGATGAAC